AAAAAAAAAAAAAAAAAAAAAAAAAAAAAAAAAAAAAAAAAAAAAAAAAAAAAAAAAAGAACGAGGGGCGCCTATGTCTGAGTGTAATTATAGTGTAAAAATAAAAACGTCCGGAGTACAGTTTGAAACCTGTATCATAACGAGAGTTTGACGCTGTGTGAATCTCCGTTGAAATAATTATTATTCCTAGGTGTGGAAATTTTTACGAAAACACAAAGAGAGATAGATATGCTGGAAAAATAATTACTTTGCGTGGCGCTTCGTATACGACGACCAAGGCACGTATCCTGATATGCTATTTCCAACCCGATCTTACCTATTATCTATAAATAGGTGTTGGTGAGAGAAAACGACTTTTCAACTCTCTGAGATGAGATATTTTTTTGAAAAAAAGGTCGCGTTTCAACAACAAAAAATCTAAGTATTTTTATTTTTATTAACCTTACAGATGTCGAATAATCACCGAAGAATAAAATTGAAAAACAAAACGCGTGCACTTACAAAATTGAAAAAAATAAAACATAAGAAATGAAATTTTCCAAAATACGGATGAAATAACCAATATGAGCGATATGTCGCAAAAGCGTTTTCTCTCCACCGACTACGACGTGAAATCAAGAAATTTCACGTTTTATCTCGCACAGTGTGTCGCCGCGTGCGAATTTCCGTCGTATAAATTTCTGCTCTCAATCTGTGCCAACAATATATTTCTTCCCCCTCGGCCCCGCCCTGTGTCCTCTTTCCGCTCTTCCTGTCCCTTCGTTTTCCTCTACTTTACCTCCCCCACACCCCCCGTTCGCCGCTCGTACTTACGTACCATCATTTTTTTCCAAGTAATCGAAATAACCTTTCCACACGCAAACCCATCAGAGTGAATATGCCCATCGTTCCGGAATTTTAATGCGAAAGCTGCCACTGTTTATTATATACGTAAGAAAAAAAAAAAAAAAAAAAAGCTATGTATGTATTTTATAATTTGCATCAACATTTGATAATTAGCGAGTAATTTGATCATTTGAATTACCATTACTCGTAATTGCTGTAAACTATTAATTTACTCTCGATGCGTGTGAAACAGCATCGACGCGACTGATACGAATGAAAGCAATGTGTCTCGAGACTCGAGGATCAATATATATTTCAACATTTTTTCCAAAACCGCAATGAACGCAACTTTGTCACTTTTTGCCGTATTTGAGCGAGACTTTTTAACTTTTGACCGCGCCGTTTTACAAACATAGTGATTAAATGTACGACATGAGTTTGCCTTTTTTGTACCGTTTACAAGTTTTCGGGAAATAAATGAGAAATAGTCAATACTCGGGTTGATATTTGAAAATGCAATGGAAAAATACGGTAAATTGACAAGAGGGACGTTTATTTTAGTATTTAAAGAATTTTGCGAGGTGATTGAAAATTTTTTTATGAAAGACGAAAAAAAAAAAAAAAAACTCTACGAGCAAATTTATGGTTCTTGTAAGGGAGAAAAAACGGAAAAAAGTATGTATATACACATACAATAATGGATAGGGAGAGTGAGGGTCTATGATTGTAAAGTTGTAGCGAAAGATTTGGATGCCTTTGGGGATTTTCACGAGGGAAAACCGATGAAAAGGACGAAAATATACTTGGAAAGTTTCATCGACTCCCGAAATGTGTTGGCCGCAACACGAGGAGCCATCACGCGAGCGTATATGGTCTCGTTCGATGTCAATGCATTTCTGGAATGCAACAGAGACGCAAATGTGTTAGTTCCCATACCAACGTCATTATGTGAATTTTATATAATATATATATTTAAATGTACATGCATATTAAGTATATGCACATTACCACGAATACATATAATAGTATGTTTTGTATGATCGTTACTCCGACGTACGTTGCGAAAATATATTATAGATTTTTACTAGTGGTCTATAGCTCGTGTTTTAGATTATGTATGTATATATGCGTAAACATTTCCACACGTACACACATGCATTTTTATTTTCACAAAAGTCCATCGATAAGCTTGTACATACTGTAATACACGGATTCGGAAACTCGGCATATGAGAATGAGACAGTTTGCCACGTGCATATGGACACTCGCTGCCATGGGCCTTGTATTGATCGCTATTGATCACATTGAAGTTTAAAAAGAAAAAAAAAAAAAATTATTGTTACGTGAAAATTCTAAAGTTGCGCAAGTTTTTTAGGAGAATTTTTGTGGGTCAAAAGTAATGTTAAAACCCATAGTGGACATATTTTTTAATAGTACGTATTTTTACGAATAGAGGATTATTAAATATATACACCAAAGCGATGATGTTGTTGATTATATGTGTATGAATAATATGTATAAACAAGCACTGGGATTTAAAGAAGACATGGAAATTTCGTGAAATGTAGCAGGAAAGCATTTATTAAAATCGTGGTGATTTTTTTAATCTTCTTCCACAAATGAATGGTTTTATCCGTGTAACGCAATAAATATTGTACGAACAATACGACACCCAAATTTTGTCGTGCTACGGAAGAACGATCGTTTGTTTGCAGAATATATCCTGCAGCTCAATAATTAATACAATTGTACACGTTGCGGTAATGAATTATTAATGGCACTGTTACCGAAACGATGAATATAATCATCAGCTCTCGATTAAAAAATTTCTCCCAACAATTTCCCGCAGGGATATCGGATAGCCGAACATAAATTTCAAAATACACGTCGACCAAAGTGCTGCAAAGTGCATCCGTCGTAGGTGCATGTAAACGATAAACAACAGCAAACCTTTCCGATATCCACTCGTGAATTTCTATCGCATCTAGTAATTGTTACATCAGATAATTCAACAAAACCACGATTCCGCACGAATATTAAATTCATCCGGAGGATATACTCGAAGGAGCAGGAAAAAAAGTCTTCTCGTGCACTACTACGTTATACCTATAACACACCAATAGTATATCTATCACGTATTGTATCCACGTACATATAGCGTGAGAATCGCGGAAAATCGGCGTGGGCTGCGTGCAACGAACAACAAAAAAAANATGTATGACGCGTCCTCTCTGGTACAGCAATGTCCCTCTTGTCTTGAAGAGAAGAGGAGAGAAAAGAAAAAAAAAAAAAAAAAAAAAAAAAAAAAAAAAAAAAAAAGACATGAAACGCTAAAAACCGAGGAAAGCTCGTTCGTCACGTTTCCGCGAAGCGACATTAACCATGTAATCAATAAGGAGGAGTAAAGCATACGAATTCTAAAGTCGGTAGTTGTAGGCAAACAAAAAAAATGAAACAAAGCGCCCCCTCCCCCCTCCCCCGACGTGTAAATACGCATCTCCAGTGTTGAGGGCGCGACTCTCGATTCTCAATCTGCGTGCATATTGTGTGTGGGGCAGCATACAGAGTATCGTGTCTCGGTTTTTTCTCTCCCTCTCCGCGTCTCTCTTTTTTTTTTTTTTTTTTTTTACACCTTTTGTTTTTCGAGCGTGTAAATCTCGGTGAGCCGTGTACCATTGTTCGCGTGTTGGTTTGTTTGTTTCCAGCTGGGAAATTGCACGCCGAGTTGCATTGGGAATCCAAGATATTGTTCATTCGGTTCCTGCAAAAACGGGGAACCATCGTGTATTTCGTTGAGAAACTGTCGGTGTGTATATTGAGATATCGAGCAAGCTTTTCATTTTTTTTTGTTTTTTTTTTGGTTCGATACATTGTAAAAATGAAAGGGAGCGTTCGATTTTTGCAAGTTTTGGTTTTTTCGCTGGAGATGAAGGAATCACCTACTTTCCCGTTGTTGGGTGTATTTACCTTGTTTTTCTTTTCGATACTTTCTTAAAAAGGACAAGGGAAACGGAGAAAATCCGTTTGGGCATAAGTGCAACAAAGCGACAGTCGGGATGAACTCTAAATAAATACCACTCGCAGATAAATATCGATGCCAACAAGTCGAGCAATTATAATTTCGCGCATCTAACGGGCACGTATATTAATAGACTAAGCCGCACGTATTAAATAAATAATAGCTGATGTAAGAAGCCATTCAACGAAAAATAAATAAAACACTGACACGAAACAGATATTTAATGTGTTGAGGAAAAAAAAAAAAAAAAAAAAAAAGTTTATCGCGTTTTAATTTGCGCTACCAAAGGGAAGAGCGTACGGCGTTATTGATTTGCTTTGTTCGTTGGTAACTTGCAAAGTTTTTGGATGAAAGTACATGCTGTAAACTATTGATAGAATTTTTGATAGAATCGTAGATTTACCGATAAGGGGTATCGGCCGCGTAGTCGGTGTGTATAGGTTTATGGCGAAGCATCGAATGTAACGTAAATATGTCCGTAACGTATTACCCGTTTCTTTTTTCACGTTGGAAATGTGGTGCCAACCAGTCGAGTACACGAAATAAAGAAGAGCCACATCGAATACACTACACATTTATTATTTTACCTACGAATTAATTTAATTTATTTAACAACATAATTAAAATAACCTAATTCTAGTTGATACAGGTATACTTGGGTTTATTGCACATTATTTTATGGTACAGGAGACTTGTACGCAGAGATAACAATAATACAGGTGGATAATCCAAGTTACGTGAGCCATTTGATAGTGTCCAATTTGTGCAATAATTCATAAAAATGCTCTATTTCGGAGAGTCTCACTGATTGAGAAAGTTTCCGTGCGACAATAATTTACCGACGCCAGAGATATTTCAAAAATATCACACGGTAGTCATCAAAGTATTGTAAAAGTTTTTCAATTTGAAAACGATTTTTTTTCTCTCATTAAGTACATTCGTTAATTAAAACAAAAAAAATTTCCTTCGTTCGTCAACAATAAGTATTATAATACCTTTTTGAATTTTAAATTGTATTTTATAAAAATGTATAGATGTACTGACAGCAAGAAAAACAAAAAAAAATTTTTTTTACATGTACACATACCTATATATAACGTGTAAGTGGGCAGTTGTAAATAACGTGTAAATATAATACCTTCAAAAGGTACTTGAAGAAAAAAAAAATATCCTAGTTTGGACGGCAAAAAGCATTCTAATTTATTCGCAAGGTAAGTTGTTGTCATTTCGTTATGTAAAAATGTAATTATCGTGACACTAGAGAAAAAAAAATAATAAAAAAAAATAGTATGACGTAAATTCCCCCAAAGCTTCATATTGTATTGTATTGTTGTATCGACATATGATCAAATAAAAACTTTTCATTGAATTATTGTACAGCGAAAGATTGTTAAAATTAAACAACACACGACGTTTCTCGACACATTTCACTTAAATTGCAAAATCGCGGCGACAGAGATTATTGCAGTAAAATACGACAGCAAAATAATAACCTAGTCATGATACATGGATACAGAAATGCGCTCTATTATAGATAATAATAGTAATAGTAACATAAATATATATATATACAGTGTTGTAGCTAAAACAATTAACTACTGAGATTACAATGATTGGCCGCAGAATACAGAGTAAACCGAGTCTATATAAATTAATTAGCGCATAAAAGTGCATGTATGCACGTGGCAAGTGTCCAATCGATGACTTTATTTTCCATTTTGTTGACAAAAAGTATGTAAACTTTGTAAAATCAACGATGTGCATTGGCCGTAGATGTACCGATCGTATCGTTTTTTTTTTTTTTTCTGTCATTCAATGGTTACATTGTAACAATATACGTAAAATAAGCAAAAGAAAGAAAAAACGAATGTATACGTGCCGAGCGACGTTGCGAAAAAAAAAAAAAAA